AGGCACAGGATTCGACCTTAGGGCTCAGCACCCACAGCATCTCATGCAGAGGGATTTGCTTTGAGAACAGCATCTGCTTTCCCCAGAGCCCCGAGCAGCAGGGATGGTCAGGGGCAAACAGGGGTTTCATCAGGCTCATGATTGATCCTGCTCAGCCCAGTGCCACCTCCCAGCCCAGGAATGGGATTGTCCAAAATCCCTGCCTGAACAGGAATGGGGTTGTCCAAAATCCCTGCCTGAACAGGAGCTGATGGGAGCGAGGGGAGGCAACTCACAGCCATCCCCAGTGCAAGGAATGTCGGACAAAGTGGGAGAAAATCTCCAGGAATTGTCTGTACCACAGCAAGAGATCAGGAGCCTGACTCTGGCTGAGATAATTCCCCAAGGTACTGTGCAGTAATGGAAAAAGTGTTCAGGTTTCCCAGGGGGTGACATTTAAAAGTCATTTTCTGGTGTAAATCTAACAAAATGAGCACCATGAGCAAGGGCCATGGTACAGGAATCAATGAATCCAGCCTTTGGAAAGGCTCACAACCAGGACATCACATAGAACTCTTGTAAAATGTAGGTAGCTCCCAAATTTTTGTTACAGAACTTCTGTTGTTCCCTTAAAACCCTCCTGCAGTCTGTGACTCCATGAGAATGACCATGTGGAGTAAGTTGTAGGATAGAATGGATCCTGAGGGTGGGAATATGAATGGCTTAAGAGAGAAAAAACCCCAGAAGTCAGCATTTCCTTGGGTTTGATGATTCCTGAATGCTGGGGAGCTGCACTATTTGACTCCTAATCAGAGATGAGGGAGAGGAAACCAAAGATCCCAGAGTGTCCTGTCAGCACCCTCCATGTGGTGAATCCCATGAGCTGATCTTGTCCCTGTGGGGCACTGATCCACTTGGGGAGCCCCAGCACTGGACAGGGTGGCTCTCACCCCAGCCTTGGCAGGCACCACCATCCTTCCCCGAGCTGAAATGCTCCTCTGGAGCCTCCCTCTCCTTCCACAGGTGCCTCTCTGGTGACTTCTGTGGACTCCAGCTACGGAGATATTTGTGACTGGGATTAAACCTGGTGCCACAGTGGTCTCAGGCTGATCCTGGAAGGATCCAAGCAGTGCCAGAATCGTGGAATGTGCAGGGTTGGAAGGGACCCTCAGGGATTGTGGGGCCCTGCACGGGACACCCCAACAATCCCTCCTGTGCCTGGTGGCTTCACCTTCAGAACTGGGGCAAGGAAAGGGTTGAGGCTGCTCAGTGATTTATCCCTGCAGAGAGAGGAGGGCTCCTGGTGGATATTGAGGGCATGGAAAAAAATCCTCAGTTCACTTTGGCTGTGAGTGGCAGAGCTTTGGTAGAAGGGGAGGGAAGTGGTGAGAGAGGAGGGAAAGTGGCCAGCTAGAGAAGGAAAAATCCTCAGCTGGATGCTTTCCTTTTGATATATTAATACCTCCTTCAAGGGCTATTTGAGGAAAAACAGACTTAAGAAAATGAGCTGGGATTTAAATGGGCTCGATTGTCTTCAGAGAGATTTCAGTAATTCCTAAATGAGTGTTTTTAGTTGAACTCAGAGAGGCCACTAAGCTCTGAGCACAGGTCAGGCTGGGGACAGGCAGACAAGTGGGAGGCTGAGCAGATGAGGAGGGGGAGGGAGGAGGGGAAGGGGCTGTCAGGGGGGCCTGGCCACAGCTGAGAGGCAGCAAAGGGACACCAAGTGGCTTCAGAGAGGGCCAGCTGAGTGTGGCATCATCTGCCTGACCCCGCAGAGTGGGGCCTTCAGCAGCTCCAAGGGAAGGGGGAAAGCCCCAGTGAATCTTCAGTTTCTCAGACGTGGAAAGAAGGGGTTGATGCTTTCAGTTCTGACCCCATCTCTGCACAAGGGAGAGCTGAGGGCACCAAAACCCTCATGGCTGAGAGGAGGGAGCACCAGCAGAGGCAGGAGAGACAAGATCTCCCTCTCCTTAACCATGACAGAGAATGATGGTTCCTTATTTCACTGCTTGCTTTTATAACCCTGATTTCCATTTGCAATGGGAAGCAGCACCTTTATTCATGGGGAAGTAAATTTGTCCTGTTTTCCCTGGGAGCCTTATCTGGGGACAGCGGTGACAGGGGACTCTGACAAGCCCTGGGGACACTGCAGAGCAGTAATTTATTGCTCTTTGTTGCAAAGCCATAAATCCACATTCAGTGGTGAATAAGCAGAGTCCCAGTCACCCCATGCAGCCCGTGCTGGTGCATTTTTGGAGCGTGGAGATGATTTTCCCAAGGAGCAAAGGGCAGTAAAGGTGGACAGCAAGTGCCAGTGGAGGAGAGGACAGGGGCAGGGGCAGGTGGCTGCAGCAGGTGAGGACAGACACCTGGTGACACTGGTCACTGCTCCAACCCAATCACTGCACTAAAACTGAGAGCCTAAGGGGACATTTTTGGCAAATCATTTATTCAACAAAAATGCAGCATTAAAGCAAGCGGAGCTGTTTGTGGATTTTAGATGAATTTAATAAACCTGAGTCAGCAGAAGCTCGTGCCTAATGATTTCCCTTTCCATGGTGAGAGTGCCACACATCCTGTGCCTGGTTTGCCAGGTCCCATGGGTGGCTCAGGCTGCAGTGCCTCTCCAGTGGCAGGAGACAGCTGTGGTTAGATGAGCCAAAAACCCTGAAACCTTCTCTTGGAACACCATAACCTCCAAAATTCTTTTTGGGTGAGTTGCCCACAAGGGAGGTGATGTTTTCCACTCTGCTGCTGCTTTCCACTTCCTTTCCCTCCCTCACTTCCTCGGGGCACCCAGCACATCCTGTCCTGCCACAGCCAGTCCCTGCAGAGCCTGAGCCTGAGGGTGACAACGGGCAGGGCCAGTGCCAGTGGGAGGTGGGGACTCCCTTGCCTGTGGTCAGGCTGGGGGGATCAGGAATATTTCCAGGCAGTTCCTGTGCTTTGGGAATGCCAGGAAGCCCCACCTGGGCTCCTTGCAGTGATGCCCTCTCCTGCGTGGGGCAGACAGAGCTGGCAGTGCCAGCACAGGCTGTCCCTGAGCAGGACCCGGGGCTGTAAGGAGCACAGCTTCACTACCCAAGCTCTCCTGCACTCAAGGGACATCCAGGGACAGTTTATCAGGGAGAGGAGGGGAAACAGGGCTGGGAAAGGAGCAGCACAGTCCTTTTGTCAGCAATCAGCGCAGTACACACTGAGGATTGTGTCCTGTAGTGCCACCAGTGAAAGGAGCGTGACCATTTCCTGCACACACCTTGTCCTGCAGCACCTGCAGGGCAGCAGGACCCTGGCACAGCCCTGGCCCTTGGGGAGGTGTTCTTTACTCACAGAAAGCACCAGCCATCCCCAGAGCTGCTCTGCCATCAGTCAGAGCGTGCCCTTTATTTCGCTGGAACCGACCCCGTGGGCATGCGAGCCAGCAGGTGAAAAGGGGATGGGTCAGGGTGAGTCCTTGGGGCACAGGAGCGAAGGAAAGGGGAGGAAAGTCCTGGGAAAGCAAAGGTTCCATGGTGCAGGGTGGGCAGGAGCACAGAGGGGAGCAGCAGCAGGCTGGGCACTCAGCTCCAGCACAATAACCGGGCTGGGGATCCGGGTGTGCCCCTCTGCCTGCTGTGAGTGCACAGCCAGGGCAGGTCCTGTGCCTGCCCTGCTGCAGCCCTGGGGGCTGCACCCCTGGGACAGCTCTGGAGCCCAGCTGGCCACTGGCCTGCTGTGGAAAATCCTTCCCTGGCTGCGGGTTTGTGATTCACCCTAGGCGAGAGCAAAAGGAACAGGCTGCTGCTGTGCCACACTAGTTTTTATTCTGTATTCTTCTAAGATCTTCCGAAGGTGAGAGTTCTAAGGGGATACAGTGGTATGGTAGCAGTAGTGAAACAGCAAAAGCTGAGTGGGATCTTGAGTAGGCAAGTAGCTAGTAAGTGAGCAGGAAGGGTCTCTAGCATATAGAAGTAGAGGTTAAATATGATTATAAACTAATGAGTTTAATACAGTTTTTCTTTTTTATCTAATCATGCCCTAATTCTAGTGGTCGTAAGATTTTACACAACTAGAGTATTATTCAGAACTACACATGGGAACACTATAGCTAAAAAATGTGAACAACAGGTTAAGTTTACCTTTTGTCTGGGGCAGGGTAACTTTATGGAAATACCACTACTATGGTAGAATTGTGCCAAAGAACAAAAAGGCCTCTGCTCTCTGCTGCAGCTTTTTAGATACTCAAGGTACTTAGTATTAAGTCTCTACTAAAAGCTACAATCTATATTTCTATTCCAGTTTGTGCCTTCATATATCTCAGTTTCTCTAGGGGTTTCAGTTCAGTCCCTGGGCCTGGATTTCTTTCTGGGCCTCTGCCCTGGGGGGCTTGCATTCCATCACCCGGGGTGCTTGGTCTCTGCTGCTCCCACCCTGCACAGTCCTGTTTGCTGGGAGGACACTCCCAGCCAGGCACTCCTTCCTCAGCCCTGCTCCAGCTGGGCCCCCGGGCAGGTAATAATTAGCAGTGACTCCATGTATTACAGCAGGCTGGTTAATGATAACCTTTATTAAGAGATTGCTCTTTTATAGACAGTTACAATACAGGTTGACCTAATTGGTCCTCTAGTCCGAACACCATCACCATTGGTTAATTAAGAAACCACCCTTTGGTAAACCTCCGTAACACATTCCACATGGTCACAACAGCAGGTGCAACAAGTGAAGATAAGAATTGTTTCTCATTCTTTTCTCTGATCTTCTCACAGCCTTTTCCAGGAAGATGCTTGGGAAAGTTGTGTTTCTCTCTATGGTGCCACAGGCTGCTCAGCACTCAGGCAGTGAGCACAGGGCACCAGCTGAGGATGAGTTTAAAGGTTAAGCCAAGGGGCAGCCATCAGGGAACATGGCACGCTAGTCTGAACTCCCCATGGATGGCACTGGCCCTCGCTGCTGCTGCAGGGGAAGGCAGCAGGGCCAGCACGTGCTGCCCGGGAGTTTGTGGCGTGTCCTGTGACAGTGCCTCGTGTCTCCCTGCTCAGTACAAACAGGTGGAGCAGTACATGTCCTTCCACAAGCTGCCCGCCGACATGCGGCAGCGCATCCACGACTACTACGAGCACCGCTACCAGGGCAAGATGTTCGATGAGGAGAGCATCCTGGGCGAGCTGAGCGAGCCCCTGCGCGAGGTAAGAGCGGCAAGGCACTTCCCCAGCACCTCCAGCAGCTCTGCAGCCCCTGGGCCAGGGGCTCAGGAAGCTCCCACCTCTTGTATTTGGCTAAAATTTGGCATGGAGCGCTGGCTTCATCCTTGGAGCCTTCAGCTGAAGCCTGGCAATGCAGGTTGTCCCTGGGATGTCACCACTGTGTCACCCACCAGCTCCAGAAGGGCCTGCCTTCTGTCTTTGTCCCCCAGCAATGTCCCTTCACGGGAGAAAGAAGAGCTGAGCAAGTGCCAGCCTGGATTTCAAACTAGTTTTGCTGAAGTCTCAAAGGGCACCCCTCTGAAAACCCCTATGGGGAACACAGATGCTTCCCCAGCTCTCTCTCTTCCTGCTGCAGTTACCCCTGTTCCCATGGAGTGCTGTGCTGGTTGATGGGCTCAGCACCACGTCCTGAGTGGGAGCACAGAGCAGCTCCTGAGCTGTCACCCTGCGAGTGACACAGAGCCCCGGGGGAGGCTGTGCTGTGCTTTCTTCAGCTGGGCTTGGTGATCCAGCCTCTGCCCAGTGTCACCTGTGCCTGGTGACACCTCTGCCTCCTCTCCTGACACTGTCCCCATCTGCCCGGGATCATTCTCCTCCTGGGCACATTTGTGCTGTTTAACAGCTCATTGACAAGCGAGGGCAGCAGAGAATGAGGGGCTGCCACGGTGAGTTATGACACCTGCCCAGAGAGGAGCCCTGGGCTTTGTCAGACAGCATTTCACTGCTGCTGTGCTCCCTCACAGCCCAAGGTTTCCTGCAGAAAACAGGAATGCTGTGTGTGTTTGGGAGGTTTGAGTGCTGTCCCTGCTCAGGGGAGGCAAAGGGGTGAAGGCAGTGAGCATGGTGCTGGCTCCAGCACTGCTCTGAGCCTCCAGAGCCCATCCAGCCTGCACCAGGGCAGCCAGACCAAGCCACAGCCAGTTTATCCCACTTTAAATGCATAAGCCAGGTGGGGGATCTTCACAGCTCATTAGGTGTTGACTAACCATATGTGTGTCCTCTCCTCATCCTCTCTCTCCTTTACCACCTCTCAGGAAATCATCAACTTCAACTGCCGCAAGCTGGTGGCCTCCATGCCCCTGTTTGCCAACGCAGACCCCAACTTTGTGACGTCCATGCTGACCAAGCTGAAGTTCGAGGTGTTCCAGCCCGGGGACTACATCATCCGGGAGGGCACCATCGGCAAGAAGATGTACTTCATCCAGCACGGCGTGGTCAGCGTCCTCACCAAGGGCAACAAGGAGACCAAGCTGGCCGATGGCTCCTACTTTGGAGGTGCGTGCTGCCGCTGAGCTCCACAGCCACAGCACTGCTGTGCTCAGCCCTTCCTGATGCACGTGGCACTGAGCCCAGCACCTCCTCCTCCATCCCTGGGCAGCTTCCCACACAGGGCATGCCGCAGGGTTGTTGGATTAGGCCCTTTTCTGACCCAGAGATGGGGCAACTGAGAGGTGGTTTAAAAACTTTTATTCCATTTTTAGTCTCATGTGAAGGGTGAGACAATGCAGATGTTATAATTCACTCCATCACAATCAGAAACCAACCATTTCCTCATTACATTATAAGTGTTTCTGCCTATCAACTTTTCTCACACCATGCTGTAAATGCCTTAAAGCCAAACATCCAAAATGCATCTTCCATAGTTCCATTTCTCCAAAGTATCCAGTCTTGTTTGCAAGGCCATCCTGAAACTTGCTTCTGGTTCCATTCTCTCTCAGCAATGTCTGTCCTATCCCATGGCATTTCTAAGTTAGCATTTCTTATCTCAAGGTTTGCACACAGTGTGAGCCTTCTGGCAGGCTTGAAGAATTCCTTACAAATCCATTTCCTACACAGGGAGAGGTGACTGGTGGGCACTGCAGAACCTAGGTCATAAATAACAGCAAAACACAGCAGGGAAACTTGGTTCTTGCAGGTTCATTTCCTTCTGACAGATGGGTGAAGCTGAGAACCTCAAGGTAAAAAACAACCCGTTCTCAGTTTTCTGCAGGCACATTCCTACTCCTGCTGTCCAGCTTCTACTGCTGGATAAACACAGAGGGAAAAACTGTCCCTCATCTGCCCTGCCTGTGGCTCAGCAAAGTGTCCTGGGGGTCAGCAGGCAGGCAAAACGCACGAGCAGCAGAACTCTGGAGCAGTGGGACCAGCAGGAGGCTGGGAAGGATTTGGGGCACTGCTCTCATGAGAAGCACAAAGCCCTCTCTCCTGTCAGAGCCTGTGCAGAGCTCAGCCCCAGACAGGCAGGTTGCAGGACAAGCTCTGAGTGCACCACCTCTGATGATCTGCTGAGGGGAGGCAGAGCAAAATCTGCCTTGCCTTCCCTTCTGGGAGGCCTTTCCTCTAAAAAAAAATCCTGTTATGCATTTCCCACACTCCTGTTTCCTGTGGAACAACCTGTCTGCACCTCACTTGGCTATTGTGCAGCCTGGCATTTGGAGCTGGGGGGTTGGAGTCAGGATACCCTGACTGCCAAATGGGATTAAACTTGCCCATGACATTCCATCAGAACTCCTCACACATGTGACACTGTCTCCTAAGCATCATTTCCTTGGGAAAGCAGCCTAGGAGCACGCTGATAACCTTGTGGTGCTGCTGAACCAGGGCTTTGGGTAGGCTCAGCATCAAGCCAAGGAATGGTGCAGGAGGATTGGCACCCAACACACACGGGGAGCAGAGTGCTGTCACTCTGCAGCTCACACCATCTGTCCTGGAGTGCCTGTCTGTGCTGCCCACACTCTGTGTAAGCAGTGGAAAAGCAGGATTTGGGAGCTCTCTGTTGGGTGTTCAAGGAGCTGTGGTTGAATGCAGGGCTTTGTGTTCAGTAGCCAGCTGAGCACTGAGGAGTGTGTGACAGCAATGTAAATACACCCAGAGCTGGGAGGTGCCACTGATGTGGCTTTCCCTGACAGTGCTCATGGCATAGACATGAAAATATTTCAAAACTGTGGAAAGACAAATGTTCCAGGTACAGGGATCAAAATTACAGCCAAGACACCAAAGGCACAGATCAGCACAAATCTAGAGGCTGTTGGCTTCAATGAGAGCACAACTTGACCTTCTGCTCCCAGTGCCCGCAAAGAGCTGGAGAAACACAACTCCTCCAGTGTGAACACACAGTGCTGCCTTTGATAATCCCCCAGAACAAACCTTGTCTGCCTGACTGGACCAGCAGAACCCCCGGGAGGCAGCTGTGTGTGGCAGCTGGCCCTGGTGCTCTGCAGTGTTGGTGCACGCACAGAATGTGAGCTGTGGCTGCGTTCTCTGCGGGAGGGCAGGCTGCAGGGAGGCTGGGAGGGCCCTGCAGGAGGGTTGCAGGGGTGCTGGTGGCAGTGTCCATGCCCTGTCTCAGCCTCTCTCTGCTTGCAGAGATCTGCCTGCTGACGCGCGGCCGGCGCACGGCCAGCGTGCGCGCCGACACCTACTGCCGCCTCTACTCGCTGTCCGTGGACAACTTCAACGAGGTTCTGGAGGAGTACCCCATGATGAGGAGAGCCTTCGAGACCGTGGCTCTGGACAGGCTGGACAGGATTGGTGAGTACAGGAGGGAGAGTCTCCTTCCTCACCCGCTGCCTTGGCAGCCCTCCTCCAGCCTTGGTGCTCAGTTCTGTGCTGGAGTTGGGAAGTGAAGGGGATCCCAGCCTGCCCCTCCTTGTCCAGCTTCAGCTCCCTCAAGGACTCCAGTCTAAACCTACTGGGGGTAAGTTTAGGTTGGATATTTAGGAGAAATCCTTCCCTGTGAGGGTGGGGAGGCCCAGAGCAGCTGGGGCTGTCCCTGGATCCCTGGCAGTGTCCCAGGCCAGGTTGGACACTGGGGCTTGGAGCAGCTGGGACAGTGGAAGGTGTCCCTGCCCATGGCAGGGGGCTTGGGCTAGGTCACCTCTAAGGTCCATTCCAATCCAAACTATTCTGGGATTGTGTGATGGTCACAGCTCACAGTGACCCATCCCAGAGTGCTCCCTGTCCTGTGGGAGACGCAACCTGTGCTGCAGACATCCTTGTCCAGGTGCCTCTTCCCCAGCGAAGCACCAGGACAACGTTCCTTGGTTTAACAGAGATAAAGTGACTCATGCAAGGTCATGCAGGAAGGCTGCAGAGCTGAGGAGCATTTTGGAGTCCCAATCTAATCCTGCAGCTCCTTATCCATCCCCTCACAGTGCTTGCATTCTCACTGCTATCCATGTGGAAAGCTCAGTGGAGCTCTGGGCACAATGCAGAGGGCCAGGAGGGTGATGAGGTGAGGGGGTTTGGGCTAAGCTGGCACCCAGAAAGGGGGGCAGTGCCTCTGGGGCTTCTCCTGTCAGGAACACTGGATTCTGTGCATCTCATTACCTGCTGCAAACCACCAATTGGGACCCCTGAGGAAAAGGCTCTGAGCTGAAGACAATCTTTGGCAAAGCCCAGGCTACTGAGGCCCTGGTGGAAGTGGCAGTAGGCCCAACACTTGGGTTATTTCAGTGAGGCTGTACAAATGACAGAGAAAATATAAAATCAATGAAGGGATGTGCCAGCTTGGCTTTATCTCAAGTTCTGCAGGTCTGGGTACTCAGTGCTGTCCAGCCTGGTGCTCTTTGGGACTGTGGGATCAGGTGGGCAGAACATCCTGTGCTCTGTGCCCCTGCACACGTAACTGAAATCCATGGAAAATTCTGACCCAGCACAAAGAACCTCACCTGCTTCTTCCCCTGGGAGAACTCCCCTTCCACAGACAGCTGCAAATGTCAGCACAGGGTCAGAAGGTGACACAGAGCGAGTGCCAACAACAAGCCCTTTGCTGCAGGGCTCTGCCACTGCCCCCTTCCTTTCAGTGCCACTCCAAGTCCTGCTGTGCCCTGGTTTCCCTGGCACTCGCCCTCCAGAGCTGCCTGCTCCCTTAACTCTGCATCTCAACTGCTGTGAAATGGCTCCATAGCCCTCGGGGGTGCCCAGCTCCCCTCAGCTGAAATTGCCCCACAGGGCCCAGAGGAGCTCTGGGCACCCTACTGCAGCTGGCGGATCCCGTGGAATTCCTGACTTTGTAAATAAGGCATTTCTTCCTTCCTCTGGAATGTGCACCATCCAGAAGGAGCAGTGCAGTAGTTCTGTACCAGGCTGTGACTTCTGAAGGAATTCAAGGTTACTGCATTCTGCTGAGGCTCTCTGGAAGTGCAGGAATCATTCTGGAGGACTGAAATTGAGGAGCAGCAGTTCTTGAAAAGCAGGGATGAACAGAAGCAGGACCATTTTTGTTCCTGTCCCATCCAGTTCAGGATCTGTGCACAAGGGGGAAGCAGATGGAAACCTCTTTCCAAGTCAGTGGTGCATTCACTGGCTCCCTTCTGCCCAGGTGACAATGTCCTTGGGAAAACCAGGGTGACAGTGTCCTTGGGAAGCCCAGTGAGTACAGGAGATGCTTCAGAGGGCCCTGCCACTGTTCTGGTACCAGGAAAAGATCCATCCAATATTCCCCCTGTGCATCAAGGGAGCAGGGAGGAAAATCCCAGCCCATCCAGTCCCACTGGGAGATGTTTATGGGATTTCTGGCAACTGGGGGGTTGGAAAGTGTGGTCTTGTAGGCACACAGTTGTGGTGATTGGGAGTGGGGCTGCAGCCCAGCCTCATCCCCAATGGGTCCAGCACTGACAGCAATGAGCCATGGGGTGCCCGGGGGGCACTGCCCAGCCACCAAAGGGAACAGGGGGCACACAGGTGCAGTGCAGGGACATGAGGGGCATGAAAGGCTGGGCTGAGGAACAAGGAGGGCAGATGCTTGCAGCCTTCTGAAGTGACATGGTGTTGCTCTGTATGGGGTGAAGCTTTCTGGAATTGCATGGTGATGCTCTGTGTACCATGGCTCTGTGGCCATCTCACCTGTGACACACGTGGGACGTGGTCTCAGTTTTGTGGGTAGCAGAACAAGCAGGCAGGGGCTCAGCCCACGCAGCAACAGGAGCAGGATTGGTTGATTGAGGTGGGATGAGGCAGTCCCACAGCAGGGCTGAGCAGTTTGGAAGCAGTGGGTGGGCAGAGGAGAGGAGCCAGAGCCCCCAGGCTGTGCTGCCATGGCTTCCTGCAGGAACGTGGGCTGTGCATGGAGCTGTCAGACCCCTGGGCAAAGAGCTGAGGTGTAGCCTTGAACCTCTGCTCTTGCTGGGAATTGATCCTGGTGTCCTGCCTGTTAAGGGATTCATCTCCGTGACGTGACAGAGGCTGGGATGCTACAAAGATCTGTGGCCCTGCTTAACTCCAAGTACCTTCAGGCTCTGAGAGCTTCTCAACCTATAGAATGTCACACATGTGACACTCCACAGGCTCGGGGCTGGAAGGTGGACACTCAGAGAAATTGGGCTGATCACTGATTAATGATCATTTTCTCCCTGATTAAATCAGCCCCTCTTCCTTGCTCCTGGCGGGCTGTAATTTGTGTGCAGTGTTTGTGGTTGCAGGGATGCTGTGCTTTCTGCAGTGAGTAATTCTCTGTCTGCCCCAGTTTGCTGTGCCCCGTTACGTAAATCACACCACTCTGTTCCTGCCTGCCTCTGAAACTGCCTTTCAGTGACCACTGGAGCTTAAAATGAGATTTCCACAAGTATTTGCACTTGTAAAACACTACCACTTAAATGCTCAATGAGAGTAAGCCCAGCACGGGTGGTGAATGCTGCCAAACCCAGGGCATAGTGAACAGCAGGGACAGTGCTCTTCCACTGCTCCATGTGCTGTGATCCATCCCAAAATTCTTGCCACCAGCTCCTCCCCACCCACAGCAAGGGCACTGGTGAGAGCTCCTCCTAGGAGCCAGAGGAAGTTCTTGTTTTCATTTTCCTCAGGAGGTTTTTGCCATGTGCTTTGAAATGCACGTACTTTGAATGCCACTTGTGTATGTTTTGATACAAGGATCCTACGGGATTAAAGATGCCTTGAGTTTCCTCCAGGCATTGCAGGTGCCAAAAAAACAAAGAAAAGCCAAGACAACACAATTCCAGCCTCTAAATATAATTTATTATATTATTGCAGTGTGAGAGTGTCTGTTCAACATACTACAGTGGTAGAAATGTTAAAAGCTTTGTCTATAAACAAGCCACAAAAATAGCTGTTCCCAAACTTTTGGCCTGCCAGCTCGTGACCAGAGTTGTGCAGCTGAGATGCTGCTGGGTTTGCAGCCCTGCTTGTCTAGTCCTGAGTAATCCCCTGGGCTGTGCTGCCCCCAGGCAGGGCTGGCCTGGGCCAGGTGAGCCAGGGAGGAGAGCAGCTGGGAGTGGTGCCAAGCTCTGCCTCATTCCCTGCTCGTCCTTGTGCTGCCTTTGCTCCTGCTCAGCTCCTCAGCCCTTCTGCAGGGACAGTGATGCTCACACAGAGGGAGCTGGGATGTTTTGGGGCTGCTCCCTTTGGCACTTGTGAGGATTTGTGAAGGAGTTTTCTGTGAGTTAGAGACAGGACCTCCGAGTTGCTTTAGATGATGTGATTTATTTTTCTTATCTTCTACATAGGCAGAAAGAGTCAGTTCAGCTCACGTCTTCACTGCATGGCTCAGGTCACAGAACCTCTAGTTACAAGGTCTTCTAAGGATTTATTAACCAATAAAACACTGCCAACAAGGATATTTATGTTTTTGACCAAATCCTTAAATATTTCATCTTATGGACTCATGCTACAGTGTAAGCTTTCTTAGCCAATCCTGTTGTGACACACAGACTTAGAGGACTACACTCTAAAACTCTAAACTTTCCTCTACCTAGCTTAGCATGTCTCTGCTTTAAACTATAAATCCACATTCTCACTTCTGTCACCTAAGTTTGGAAGCCTTTTCCAAGGTCTCAGGTCAAATTATGTATTTAATTCTAAGCTTTGGCTTACAGGCCCAAAGTTCTGAGAGTTCCCAATCCATTCTGGATTCCAACAGACACTGAGTGCAGATAACTCCAGCAATGTGTGCTCAACACCAGCTTTCCACTTTAACCAAATATAGTCTAGGTTTGTTCAATGGATAGGTGAGTAACCCCCACAGGTGAGAGGAGCAGGATGATCTGGCCATCAGGAGATAAATACAGCTAGAGATACAGAAACAGTTCTGAGCTGAGGCTGCTGACCCACTGGTGCAAGGAGAGAAGTGCCTGTGGCCTGGGTGTGCAGTGGTAGAGGGTTTGTGCTTTGGCACAGAGCTTCCTTTCAATTCCCAGCCCTTGGCTCCTGAGAGGTGCTCCTGTGTGGTGTCCTCCCTCATCACCTGAACAGCCACCAGTGCAACTGTCAGTGAGGAATCAGAGTTCAGGTGCCACTTGTGCAGCATTTCTCTGTCTCCCTTCAGCAGCACAGCGTGGGGATCTGGGTGTGCTCAGCACAGAGCCAAAGGCACTCACAGTGTGGTTGGTGTCTCCCGAGGTGGCTCAGGTGAGTCACACCTGGAAGGGCTCCCTAGCACAGGTGGGAGCTTGGACTTCAGCAGGAACTGAATTTCCTCTGTGTTTAGCCTAGGGAAAGGTCTCAGCAACTTACCAGCCATGGGGGAACATAAATCACTTCAGCTTAATGAAGGGGACCTGGCAGCCCTGCTCACC